GAGCAAACAACTCGCTCATGATTTCACATCCTCACAAACACACATTTTGGAACATGGGAAGAAAAGGAACTAAAACATTTTTTGTCATTTATCCCAGCAATATCGTCTGCTCAGCGACACGGGCTCACCTGGAGATAACAGCCCTGGAGGAAACATTTGACAGGTTTACTCCGTATTTTATTTATTTATTTACTTTAAATGAGGTTTATTCTTTTTTTTTTTTTAAATCCTCTTCTAAGGATATTTTTTCCACTGCTTTTCAGAGAGAGTGGAAGGCAGAGAGAGAGAAACATCGATGTCAGAGTCACATCGATTAGTTGCTTCCTGTACGTTCCCCAATTGGGGGCCATGGAGCAAGCCTGCAACTGAGGTATGTGCCCTCGGCCGCAATCAAACACGGGACCCCCTTCAGTCCTTGGGCCGATGTTCTAACCACTGAGCCAAACTGGCTAGAGCTACTCCGTATTTTAAATGCACCGTCCCAACCAGATGGTTGTCTGTGGCACTCAGCATCATTAGGGAATCTCGAAAGCCAAAGATTACAGTGATATGCTCAATCTCAATATTAGCAGATAAAGTAACACCGAGTCTGGCCAGGCTGTGCTTTGAACTCCAGGCCCAGATCAGAGAGGGCTTGTATCCAAGAGAGATGCCGAGCCCCTCTGAGAACATCCTGATAACTAGGGCCCCCGGCTCCTCATTTACCATGGAGGCTTCATTCTTTATTCTTACTCAACCTAGTCTGGGGCTCAAAGTAGAAAGGAAGGGAAAATAGAAAAGAAGCAGATCTTCCTTCCATCTAGCCTGCTGTACCTCCCTTTGGCTGACAGCATCTGAGGAAAGGCAAACAGGTTAGCCCTGGATATTCAATCTGTGTTTTGTGTCTCAGGTAAGAGTCCAAGCTCCTCACCCTAGTCCCAGGCAAAGGCCTCTGGTTGCTGATGACCCAGGCTGACGTCCTGCCCCCACCCTACTTCTCCTATGAGCTCTTTATTTGACCAACTGGACCAGATTCCATGAGTTTGCATTTCTTTTTTTTTCTTCTTTTAATGCAAATGATTTTGCCTTTACCGATCTTTTAATAAGTCTTTTTCTTTTTTAAAGATTTTTCATTGCTTTTGAGAGAGAAACATCGACATGACACTGCAACATCGACTGGCTGCCTCCTGCACACCCCTTACTGGGGATCGAGCCCAAAACCCAGGCATGTGCCCTGACTGGGAATCAAACCTTCAACCTTTCGGTACATGGGATGTGGCCCAACCAACTGAACCACACATGGCCAGGGCGAGTTTGCATTTCTTAAATTCCTTCCCTACCTCCTCAGCTGCCTCCTCTAGTGTCCTGGAAACATAAGGAGGAGACAAAATGAAGGGGGCTGCAAAGGTCCAGAAAGCCGTGAGATCTGCAGACAGGAGCACCGTCTCTCACCCTGCCTGCCACCCTCAGGCATCCTCTCTGACCAGCCCCAAGCAGACAATGCTGGCATCTGCCCTATCTGGACTGATCCAAGAAAATCAGTCAGAAAGCATGTGGCATCGAGTCAGGGACATAGAGGAATAGCTACCTCTGACCTGTTCACACCAGCTCAGAGCTCACACCCTAAATTCCCTCCATCTACCTGCTACACCCATCCAAACACCACCTCCCTCCCCCAGGCTGTTGCCCAGGATACAGACTGAGAGCTGGACCACAAGGGGCTGTACTCTCTCCTATCTTGTTTTGTTTCCCAACTCACGCACCTTCTCCTCAGCCCAGGAACAGGGCACTTCCCCACAGTGCACGCCCAGACTCATTCCTTTAAAGTGACCACAGGCGGCCTCCCAAATGCCCCACCCAACACACTCACAGGTGACCAGAGCAACAAATTGCCCAGACTTGATTTTATCACCGTAATGAGGCCTCCGCCAAGGTAAGATTAGAAAGGGCCTTTTCCCAAAAACACACTCAGGGTGGGCTGCCAGGAAGGTTCCAGGAGTGGGTGCTCCAAGGAAGC